TGATGGGAGGAAATGACCTTATTCAGCCTTAAAAATCCTTCAGAATCTTGTTTTTCTCAGTGTTAAGGAGAAAAATCCAATCTGAAGACTCATCGGAGGGTAACAACCAACAGCTGTCACATCTCTCAGTCCCCAATTTACAAGTGACTGTCAAGCAGTTTAGTCTCTATGCTATATTGTAGACAAAATGGAAGTCCTCCATCATCTATCCCTCCAGGAGTTCTATACAGGCCACTCTCCAAAGCTCCTGTTTCCTCCTGTGGAACCAATCTCTGTACTCTAGAGATCTGTTGTAATTTCCAGAAGACTCCAGACCCCACCTTGAGGCTGCTCATCCCAATATTCCAATATGATATAGTGGTGAGAGACTAAAACCAGGGACATTGAGTATGTTAACTCCTGTCAAGTCCCTTCCAACTTATCATGGCCCTATGAATTAATGTCCTCCAAACTGGGTTCAAATCTCCACTCTAGCCATGAAGCTCATCGAGTGACTGTGGGCCCAGTCACTGTCAATCAATCTAAACTACCTTATAGGGCTGCTGTGAGGATAAAATGAGGAGAACCACAAATGTTTGTCCTGAGCTCTGTGAAGATTACTGAACTCCCAAAAGACCTGTACTTGGGGCTGCCTCACAATGACATTGAGAAGTCTTTACTTTTCAGAAACTGGTTTGAAATCACCTTCTTCTCTCCTGCACGTGAGCAAACTGCTCTTATTTGGTGGTCTGCATGTAAACCACCTAATTTGCAAACCCAAATGCAGTATATATCCATAGAAGACAAACCAGGGAGAGAAAACATATAAGCTAAATACCAAACCTGTCTTCACATCTTGGAATCACTCCCTCTGCTGTTGGAAACATGGATTCTGTTCAAATAAATAGATTTTAAGAGACTATAGTGAAGACCAATGTTCTCTCTAAGCTGTGGAGTCTTGTGAGCAAATATTCTACTTTGTGAGCTACTGGCATTAAAGTTGTGAGCAAGCAATTCGGCTACTGCGTAAATTAGTTTGCTCTGGAGCCATCCTTCCTGAGCGAAGAGAAAAATCTGTGAGCCGGAGGCTAAAAAACTGTGAGCTAGCTCACACTAACTCAACTTACAGGGAACACTGGTGAAGACCCATACTGAAGACACATATGAACAGATTCTCACCAATCCACAGTTAAGGACACATCAATCTCCAGTTCTGACATATTTATTTCCTTGCTCTTTTCCCCCACGAGTTGAACCCAAAAAGATGATAGGCAACTAAGCTTGTTATTCTTTTAATCTGTTAAAAACATCTTCATTATCCTGTATGCTAATGTACTGCCCACCCTCTATATGTATGGACTGGTAATTTCTATTTCATTGTATCTGAAGAAGTGTGCATGCACACAAAAGCTCATACCTTGAATAAACCTCTGTTGGTCTTTAAAGGTGCCACTGGACTCAAAATTTGTTCTACATATGAACCTATGACGCTGCCTTATACCAACCACTGGGTCTATCTAGTTCAATACTGTCCATTCTGATGAGTAGCACCTCTCAGGTCTTAGGCCCAGGTCCCAGGTATCAGGGACTTTCACCAAAGTGGCTATCCTTAAATTCAAGAAGTTGAGGATTAAGCCTGGAACCTTCCGTGCAAAACTTTGCACTCTACCACTCAGCCACGGCCCCTCCCATTAACTCGGATTAGATATTTAAGCCCCAAAGCATGGAAGCATACAGATTATACTTCCCATTCACTGCAAGGGAAGTTGAAAAGGATGCAGAACAGAGAATGGCCTTTTCCTGGAGATTATGCTTGTTACCCTTTCTTGCGCCTCCTTCTGCATGCATCACAACTCTTTAAAATGCTAGCACTGCCAGCTGTTTTGGGCTTTGGAAAAAAGAAGTGTGTGTGTGTGTGTATAAATGTTCCTTGTCAGCAACAGCCATCACACCTCCTCTACCCCTGCTTTTTGCTTTCAGCTACAATGCTGCCTATACAGCCTCCACTCTAGTTAGGAAAGGAGAAGCAGGGGAGGAGAATCCCAGTGACAACAGCAGAAACTGAGATGGGGTTAGAAGGAGAAGAGCCCACATGGGCTGCAACCACTTCCTAATGAGGACCTAAGAAGAGTCTGCTGGATCAGACCAGTGGTCCATCTAGTCCATTATCCTGTTTCACGCAGGAGCCAACCAGTTGCCTTAGAGGGCCAAACAAACAGGGCAATAGAGGCTGAGGCCCTCTCTTGCCGCTGCCTCTTGATATGGAGATGCCCTTCAGTTATGATGGCTAGTAGCCATTGATAGACCTCTCCTCCATCAGCCTGTCCTTTAAAGCGATCCATGCCCACGGCCATCACTACCTTCCCTGGCAGTGAATTCTACAGTTTAATTACTTGTCGAGTAAAGAAATATCACCTTTTGTCTGTTCTGAACCTATTTCTCAGCAAACTAATTGGGTACCTCCCAGTTCTGGTATTACAGAAGAGGTGGGGGAAGCGCCTTCTATCCACTTTCTCCACCCTGTACATAATTGTATTCACCTCTATTATGTCTTCCCTTAGCCATCTTTTTTTTCTAGATTGGTAACCTCCTAATCACCTTAGTTGCCCCACATTATATTTTTTTCAGCTCTGCAATATTTTTTTTCCATATGTGCATGTGTGTGCACGTGTGTGTGTGCACCTGGAAGTCATGGTGAGCACTGGTGACTGTGTGCACCTGGAAGTCATGGCTCTGGTGACTGACCCCTGCTGGGCGCCTGGAGGATATTCAGAGAGGTGGTTGAATAAAGCCTGCCCTCGCCTCCCAACTGCTGGTATTCCAAGGAAGTCTCCCATCCAAGTATTTGCCAGAGTCGACCCTGCTTAGCTTCTGAGATCTGACAAGATCGTGCTTGGTTGGGCTATCCAGGTCAGGGCACTGTAATATTTGTTTTTGAGATACAGTGACCAGAACTGCACGCAGTATTCCAAATGAGACTGTGCAGTAGTATTAGAAGCAGGCTTTTCATTTGCATATTCTGAAAAGTGGCATGGGCCTCTCTATGTGAGCAGACAAACCACCGCAACTGGCGCTGGGTAGAAAAGAGGACCCCTCTGTGCCATCCAAACTGAAAAAGGCATTGGCAAACCCATTCACGTGCCATCGTTTGTACACAGTTAAGTCAGAAGGAAGTCCAATTGGTTTTCAATGGCAGTGTGGACTTTGTTGGTCTTAAAGGTGCCACTCGACTCACTTTGTTCTATTGCTTCAGACCAACAAGGCTTACCCACCTGACTCTAGTGACTCCCCGCTACAATTCTAAGAAGTTATGAGTAACTTCCACTCAAATCAGAATTTACTTCTGAGTAAATGGGATAGTGTTGTACATGCACACGACTGAGGCCAGGTACCTAAATCTCGTGCAAGTTTATAATGAAGTTCTACATAAGCGTGCAAAGGATTAGTAGATTCACTGTTTATGATTCTGATCGATGCCATTAAAGGTTTTGAATTGAGTTGGATTAGTAGACTGCAACCCCAGTCCAGCGCTTTTTATCAGCACGTCGGCAGACACTTCCCGCTAAACCCGACGGCTGCAATTACGGAAATGCCCAGTGACTCCCGATGAACGGAGACTGACCTCTGAGCAGGGGAGCGTCATAAACGCGCACGGCGCTACAGACAGGTCGCGGAATCTCTGGCTTTTCCTCGCACGCGCGCGCGCTACAGCCGCAGTTAAAGGGCCCGGCTGCAGTGAAGCACTTAAAAACTTCTCTCCTGGCTGTTTTTAACTCTCAGCAATTCAGTAGTCAGTCAGACCCCTTGCTTTTTTCGAAGCGTACAATAAATTGCAAACATATTAAGATCGACCTTATGAGTGCGCTTTGAGGAGGAGGAGTAATAATAATAGTAATAACTTGAACTCCGTGTGTGTGTCACTTCTGAGCCAGCTGACCCATCAGGCTCGCGCAGCTCAACCGCCAAACTCCCGCCCGCCGCCAAGCTCTCTCTCGCCTGCGCAGACCTTCCGTCCCAGAAACCTTTGCGCGCTCAGGCGGGCTTCCTCGAGAAAGGGGCGGCGTGGAGCAGCGCCCCCTCTTGACTCCTCCCCCGATGCCTTCCGAGAGTTCGGAGAGCAACCGCCAGGGGGCGTGTCAGCTGCCTCCCTCCCGCCGCCGCCGCCGCCTCTTTCCTCCTCCTGCCGCCACCTCAGCATTGTGATGATGACGACAACAACGCCGAGCGAGTGAGCTCAACGGTCTGAGGCCTCGCTGTCGAGGGGAGACCGGCGGGGATGCGGCGGGGAGGCCGAGCGGAGCCATGGAGCTGGACGAGGCTTTCGGTTTGGTGGGGGAGTTCGGCCCTAGGCAGAGGCGCCTCACCGCTTTCCTGGTGCTGCTGCAGGTGGGCGGGGGGAGGGCCGCCCAGCCCCTCCCCTTTCCCCACTCCGAGGGCCGCCCGGGCACCCCCTCCCTCCCCCCCTACCTGCGCGCGTCTCTCCTCGGTTGCTAGGCGAAGCTCGCGCATCGCCGAAGGGAGGGGGGAAAGAGAGAGAGAGAGGTGGGTGGGTGGCTGTTGCCAGGGCAACATCCAGGGCGCCACGCTGGTTGCCTGCTGGCGGTTGGGGGCGGTGGGCGGGAGATCCCCGGGGGCTGTTTGGGCCAGTCTCACCCACTGTCCGCCTCCCCTACCTCACAGGGTGGTTGTGAAGGTGAAATGTTTACGGGAGAGCCGTTGTTAGGCAGCCCTGACCCGCTTGGCGTGAGTCCGGGGGGATTTGGACTTGCCCTGGTGCCCGGGAGAGCCAGTGTGGCGCAGGGATTAGAACGTCGGGTAGGCTCGGAGGGGTCAAATTCTTATCCCGCCCTGGCGACTTTGAGTCTGTCACCGCCCTCTCAGCGGTTACCGACCTCAGAGGGCTGTTGTGAGGATAACATGAGGAAGGGAGAGTCGTGTGCGGAGCTCTGAGCTCTTTGTAGGAATGGAGGAGAGAGAAGTGGACCTCGGCTGGCCTCCGAAATAGGTCACTGCTAAAAGTGAACAGTTATCTAGGTAAGAATAAGTTTTCCCTTACAGGGCTTCCAGGGTCTTCTTCGCCTGTAGAATTTTGCCTTCCGCACAGGAGCCATAACAAGAAACAGCAACACTAAGAAATACACCAAATGGGCTGCATGCCCATATTTTCTCCCCACTTGGTGCCCGGGATATTAAAACAGCTGGAAGGAAGGGAGCATGCTCCAGCCAGCCAACTGCCGCTCTGAACTAGCCATTTGAATTACATTTGAAACAGAGCAGCATCTGGCATCTCCCTCGATGGTTTCTGAGGTGTCAAAGGGTCCCTACACCTGGGGAGAAGGAAGCATGTACCATTCAGGCAACTGCAGTCCTGAATCCTACCTTAAGGATAGTTATGCGGGAAATGGCAAAGAGGGGGAGAAGAAATTTGGATTTTTTTAAAAAATGGTGTAGGCTGCGTTTTGGTTTTTCTTTTTTAACTTTGAATCCCACCTTTTTTATTTCACTCAGGCATCAAACAGCTTAGCTACCTGCTTAGGTTTTACCATGGCTGCTACGTTATTTGTCTGCCTTCCAATAATTTCTTGGGCTGTACATGCCCCCAAATTTATGGGAGGAAAAACTAATACTTATGTACGCTGATGATACCATTCTTATTTCACAAACAAGAATTGGTTTAAAACGGGCTCTGAAGACATTTAGTAGACAATGTGATAATGAATTGTTATTAATTACTCAAAACCCAAAATAATACATTGTAATAGAGCATACAATAAATATAAACTGGAAAATTAATGGTCAGAACATTGAGCAAGTAAAATCTTTTAAATATCTGGGGATAACCTTCTCACAGAATGGCAGTCAATCAGCTCACATTACCTCTGTAATTAATATAGCAGAGAGAAGTGCCAACACTATTCTTAGATTTTTTAGAACTGAGGGCCTAGGTTTAGTCCTGGCAGCTCTAAAGGTCTTTTCTGCCAAAGTGTTGACCCAACTTACCTGTGGGATGCAAATAATATTAAATAACAATAGTAATTATAAGACACTAGAGAGAGTACAATCTCAATTTTTCAGAGCACTGTTTAATGTAGCAAAATGTACAACTAGTGTGGTCTTAAGACAGGAGGCTGGTGTATCAAGAGTGGAACTGAAAATATGGACAATTTCGATCTATTATTGGTTGAGAATCCACCTGAAGCCTACAGGATTGACCCCCCCCCACACACACTTCTAGCCTCTACCTCATATCCAGACTGGTCCGCTAGAATAGTGGATAAGCTAGGTTCTATTGGGTTATGTCCAGTAAATCTTTTGGAAATGGGTATGAGTAAAGCGAAATCTTTGGTTCATCAGTGCTTGGTTGACAGTGAGGCTCAAACTGATGGAGTGCTTCTGCCCAAGATGTATAGTAATCTAAAATCTTGGCCTGGATTTGCAGCAGCACCATATCTCTCTAACATCATGTATGAAAAGTACAGATGGGCTTTTTCTAGAGCGTGTTTTGATGCCTTCCCTTCTAACTTACTGCAAGGAAGGTATCTCCGTTGGCCTATCCATCAAAGATGTTGTCTGTGCTCAGATAAAGAAACAGAAACAATCATTCACATTCTTTTACACTGTAAACTCTATTCTGGAGAGAGACATCAGTTAATTTTTCCTTTACTCTCCCAGTTTAAACCCTTGGACACTTATTTAGAATTTGCAGATACTGTGCTGCTGAAATATTTGTTGGAAGACACCAAGAAGTTGGTAACTCTGGTAGTAGCAAAATATTGTTTTTAGTAGTAAGTAAGCGAAAGTTTTTAACAAAAAGCACAGCCTGAGGATAGTCTACGTCTTTGGAATTTAGAATCTGGGGAATACAATTATGGTTTTAAGTAGTTGGGGTCTGTGGCTTGTAATTGTACTATTTTATTCTTGTACTGCTGATCAATTGGCCGTAATAAATTTGAATTGAATTGAATTTCTTGGGCATAGGGATGCTAGCAGGCCTGGAGAAAAGGGTCCTGTCCCTTTAAGAGACTGAACAGGATGTTATGAACATGACATGAAAAATGTCTCCAGGCCTGTTGGCAGTCTTTTTTCAGTTGTATATTGCACTCTCCCTCCCCAAGTTACTGAAGGTGGCGTAAAGGTAAAGGTTCCCTTGCTCGAAAGCCAGTCGAATCCGACTCTAGGGTTGCGGTGCTCATCTCCGTTTCAAAGCCGAAGAGCCAGCGCTGTCCGAAGACGTTTCCGTGGTCATGTGGCTGGCATGACTAAACACCAAGGCGCACGGAACACTGTTACCTTCCCACCGAATTTATCTATTTATCTACTTGCAATTTCTTGCTTTCGAACTGCTAGGTTGGCAGGAGCTGGAACTAGAGATGGGAGCTCACTCCATCATGTGGCACCTGGGTCTTGAACTGCTGAACTACTGACCTTCCACAGCCTGCAGTTCAGCATCTTAACCACTTGAGCCACCGCAGCTCCTGAAGGTGGCATACATGATGGCTTATTTAATTTTTCGAGCTGGTTAATGAACCTTTATTCGACTGAGTAAAAGTCGAACCTTTAATCAATGATCTGCATAGATTTTCATGTAAACCATTAATTCTGAGGTGGGAAAACTTTATGTTTAGATGATGGCTGCATGTATCTCATTCTGCACCACTGTAGAAGAAGTCCAAATAAAGGAAGGCTGCTGTAGAACCAGAAGAAAAATAAAAAATAATGATGAAATTGAAAAAAATCTGCTTGATTAATTAGGAGCATTTTCTAAGTTGATGAAAATGTGTTTTTATATTGATTCCTTCGCATTTTGCCACCTTACCCATTCTAAGTTGATGAAAATGTGTTTTTATATTGATTCCTTCGCATTTTGCCACCTTACCCATTGTATCCTGCACTAACCATGTTAGATTAAGATAGGCTGAGAGCAACTGGGTTTCCTGCATACAAGTCCAACACTGAACTAATATAGACGACTGCTTATCTCATGCCAAGGTGATTGGTTGGTTGCCTGTATTAAAAAGTGGCACGGCTTTTTTCTACCTTGTGTTCCAATGTGTAGTGAAGATTTGGATCTCTGTGTTTGCCCTTCTTATGTGTTTCCTCTGTATAAATTCTCTGTGGCTGGTGATACTGAGTTGGGAAGTTATCCCTGTAAAATAGAGTTCTGTTGTTAGTGACATGTTTAAGGCATGTTTCTCTGTGGTTTTCAGATTTTACAATACCTAGTATTGTACCCTGAAATGCAATTTTCATGAAGTATTTTTAAATGTCTGTGGTATTGCAGAGTGTAATTTCCCCCCACATCCTGATGTCATTGAAGCGTTGTTCGATTAAAAGTTTCGTGGGTCAGTGAGTTCACAGGGGTATATATATATACTTTTGATTTTGATGCATAAAGTGAAACTTTCCCTCTGTCTCTTTTTGTCATTTTGTGGAGGTGTGGTGCACATGCAATAGAGGATTAGTTTAAAAAATTAGCATGACTAACGTACAAGCATTGAGAAAATAGAGATCATTTACACTATACACAATAGTGGCTTGTTTGAACGTCCCAGTCAGCCATCTATTTCTGTAAACGGTGAACCAGCAGTAGTAATGGAACAGTGAAGTGACAGATGAAGTGATAAGTAGACTCAGATCCATTGCAATAAAATGAGTGAATGAATCAACAGCAACCATGAAACGTTACAGAAGCAGCCACAGTCATCTGTATTTTAACCCAATTGAAGAAGCAACAAAACTTGAGAACATATTTCCCATTTGATAAGCTGGTTGTTTGTATTCTCCTACTCTAACCTGGACATCAGCCCCGGGAAGTTCCTGTGTCAACTCTGATACCCTGAAGAGTATCTGGTCATCTGAGTTATTAATCTGGGAACAAAAGAGGGGGCATGGCATTTGTTGTCCTAGTTGGCAGCAGATTGTTTTGGGAGTAGGTGTGGGCTCTAGTCTCAAAAATGGCCTGTGGCAAAACTAGTTGCTGACTACCAGACTATAGTTATGATGTCATAGTGCCTTTATGAGTGTAACCAAGAACAATCTAGTAGTGTAGCTAGAGGCTTGGACTTTATGTGAAATTGGAATGTGTTTTCTGATGCGAGGTTATGATTTTTACAGGTTTGGGAAATTCAAGAGTAATGTAGTTGCCCTGATGTCTAAAATGTGGTGGAGTTTGTATTTTTAAAAAGAAGCAGCAACAGCTCTGTGCACGACTAACTCCTTCAAATCTTCTCCCCCCCCCTTCGTTTTTCATATTATGACTGCAAAGTGGAAACAGATGTTCTGGATGACAGTGAAGGGTAGACAGTCACACACCTAATGAAATTGGACCCTTCTTCTCTGGCAATAGAGAAGATTCTTATTTCTGTCCTGCTCTTTGTGTTACTGTG